CCCTCGAGTAGAGCTGGAGGTGCGAGACGGGGGATGAAAATTCAGTGCCGCCCCAGCGCTTGCAGCTCACGGCTGCACTTCAGCAAGGCAGGGCTGCCGCACGCCCCATCCGCGGAGCTGGAAAGCCTCAGATCCCCAAAATACAGACTGCATTCGCGGGTGGCCCGGTGGGGCTCTGCATCGCGTGGGTAAACCCCTCTGTGCAGGAGGCAGAGGATGCTATGGGCTGCTCGGGGACCTTGCCCCCCCGGGACCACCAGAAACTCACCTCCTTCCCACTGTGGTTGCTCAGAATAATGTCCCAAGCCTGTCCCCCGCCCCCGGGCACTGTCCCCAGGGGAAGATTTATGGGCAGAGGTGACTTTCAGCCCTTTAAGTGCTGCTGCGGATCAAAAGACAAGCGGCAGCTCGTGTGTATATTGATTGGCGAAGGCACTGGAGGGGACCCAGCAGCAAAGGGAGCGGGATGGGGCTCTGCAAAGCCACCGGAGCCGCCTCCACACCCTGGCTGGTCATGAGGGGGACAGTCGGTGGCATGGGGCCAGCCAGCCGCTCACTTCAGGCAGCACACAACCCTCCGCTGCTGCACTATCCCCCTTCCCCCGGGAGCTCAGCCTCTCCATCCCCATTTTTAATGCAACAGCACCACGAAGAGCCCAATGAAGAAATTACTCCGGTGCAGCCCGGCACGCCGTGTCCAGTGGCACCGCTCGGCTCCAAGCGTGCCACGCACACAGCGACAGGGCTGGGGACATCAGCCGGGCTGCAGGACATGGCAACGCGGAGGGAAAGAAGACGGGGTGTGACAAGGACTGATGGGACCTTTGCAAATGCTCCAGCAAAGCAAAGGACCAAATTTTCCCCATGCTGGGACCAAATTTTCCCTGTGCACGGCTGCCGTCCCCACCCAGGGACTGGGGGCGGCTGCCCCGCTCCGGCCGCTCACCGTCTTGCCCGCAAAGCTGACTTCCACAAAGGGATCGACCAGGTTCTTCTTGTTGCTGTCGAAGCCAAAGATCTGCCTGACGTTGTCCATGACGGCATCGTCCACTGCGAGGGGAAGGAGATGCTGAAAGCTCATGGAAGTGCACGGCCTCCGGATGGCCCCGGCTTTCCGGGCAGGCTGTCCCACCGGCCGGGCTGCGCATCTCCACTGAGCCAGGTGGGGAGGAGCAGGAGGGTAAAACCAGTTTGCACCAGTAAGAGACTTATCTCCCAGTACATCACGACTGACCGACATCTGCAAGGTCTTTGGACCAAGGCTACGGATAAAGTTTCCTTATCCGTGCCCTTGTTCCTCTCCGGCACGTTGTAACCCTCTGCAATGCCGAGGGCCGGATCCGGCAAAGGAAACACTTACTCTGGGGTAAGTCTTCGGCTTTGAAGATTTTCAGGCAGAAGTGAGCCCCTCTCAGGGTGACCCCCGTGGGGCGCAGGAGGTTGCCCTCGATGTCTTCCTTGTCTTCAGAGACCTCCTTCTTCTCCAGCTGCAGGACAACAGGACAAGAGGAAAACACGACCAAGCTTCCCAAAAGCCCTGAAATGAGCAGCAAAACCCCAAAATCCAGCACCTTGCCCCCAAAACGGAGGAAGATCAAAGCTGCAGCTTCCCTGGGAACAGGCGCGGGGTTTGATGGCCCAGGGCGGTGGAGTACCACGGTTGGAAGGTCCCCCCCATCGCCGGAGCAATACTCACAGGAGCTTCATCTCCAGGCCCCAGCACGAACAGGCTGACTTTCAGATAGCCCTTGGCCCCCGCAGAGAAGTCCTCCGGGTCAGACAGCAGCAGCCATTTCCTGAGAAAAGCGTGTTCTAGGGGAGAGAAGAGATCGAGACCCATGTGCTGGTCCTCAGACACGCAGGGAGATGGGTTCAAGGATGCTGATGGGTGTTTTTTTATAATAAATATTACATTCCTTTTGAACAGAACAGAACAGAACAGAACGACAGAACGGAATGGAAAGGAATGAAATAGAATAGAATAGAATAGAATAGAATAGAATATTTCAGTTGGAAGGGACCTACAGCGGCCATCTCATCCAGCTGCCTGACCACTTCAGGGCTGACCAAAAGTTAAAGCATGGAATTAAGGGATTTGCCTCGTAGGTCTTAACCCTTTACAGCTAAAATTAGCAAGCTTTTCTCTGCAGTGATTAGGGTAGGAAATTTTTTATAAGCGTTATTTTATCTTCCTCGAGAGAAAACAAAAGATAAAAGATAAAATAATGAGCCAGACTCAAGACAAAAAAAAGTGAGCTGGGCTGCGCTGGTGGGGCTTTCTGCCAGCGAGCCGGTGGCACAATGATTTGAAAGCCTTCAAGGACGTACGTCTTGGGAAAGGGAAGAGAAATGGGTGGTGATGACGGATATAGGGACACATCTGGGTTCATACATGGGAGAGCTGTAACGTGTGTGTGCGTTCCCCCTACTTTTGGCCCAAAAAAAGGGTTACCCAGAGCAACACCCCCCCCCAGCCACGGGAGGTGACCCTGGCCCGGACCCCGACCGCCCGCTGGGCTCACTTGGCTCGGAGTAAACGGTCTCGACGTCCATCTGTGCAACAAAAGGAAAAAGAAATGCCAGCATTCACCCCTTGCGTCAGCGTGGCGGAAAACAGGGGGGAAGAGGAGAGAGGGCAGCCTTACCCGAAACTCCCCGATCACCGAGTCCGTCCGGAAAGACCGAGAGTCCACAACCTGTCAAACGAAAATAAGGAAAAACGGTAAATCCAGCCCAAACCCTACCAGGGTGGAGGGCGCTCCCGGGAAATAGGGGAACGTTTCCCTGGGCCCCGCAGGGAGAGGGACGGGGTGACGGCCCTGAGCATCGCCCCAGCCCTCCTGAGGAGCAGGGGTGTCATTTGCTGAAGCTCACCGTGATGAAGATGGGCGCGTCGAACAACTCGGCCGGCGACTCGAAGACGTTGAAGAAGAAGGTCTGTAGGAAAGAGGGGCTGAGGGTGCAAGGCGGAGGTCTGCCCCAGCCTCCCCCCCAGGGCACGTTCGCACCTCCCAGCCTCTCCCAAGCCCCCGACTCCGCAGGCTGGAGCCTCTTCCCCTCCTGTTAGGTGAGACCTCACCCCCTTGATAGCAACAGCCTCCCGAAGGGGCTGCGCTGGGTGACGCTGGCGCGCTCTGGTGAGCAACATCCTCCAGTTTGCTTTTGCCGGGCTGGTTTGCAAAAGCACATCCAGACCAGCTCACCCGGGGGTCTCCAAACAAAGGACCAGGGGCAGGTTGAAGCAGGCTTTGGGGACATCCCAAAAGGCAGGCTTGAAGCATCCGCTTCGGGGACAGGGCTGGGGACAGGTCGCCTGCGGCTGCCCGAGCGTACCCATCCTGCACGCCCGGCTGCATTGCCCACCCCTGCCCGAGTGCAGCTCTACCCGGGACATGCCACCAGGATGCTACCGGCAGCTCTGGGACACGTGAGTCACGTCGGGAAGGTGACCAAGATAAGCCCTGCATGAAGGCAGGGGATGCTGGACCTGCCGAAGGGCTCGCTGCGGCTTCCTGCTGCTGTTTGAGCTTCTCTCCCATCGCAGTCCCCATTGCCACATCCCAGCCTCTGGGCTGCACCGGGATTTCCATCACTCAGGACCCCAAACCGTAACACTCCCGGAGCCTCTCCTGGTGCACCCAGGCACACCCGGTGCAGAGACACCCCCCCTCACCTCATCAAAAAAGGGGCTGTTGCCTTTGCGTATCCTCGTCCTCTTGGTCTGCCCGGCGGCCGTCACCTTCACCACGGGCCTGATGTTGACCCCGGGGAGCTGCCGGCCCTCGATGACCCTCACCCTGATCTGGGATGGGAGGGAGGACAGGGCAGTGGGTCACTGGGGTTGGTCCTACCCTGGGATGGGCACCTTAGGAGGCCCCCCCCAGGTGATAAACCCCCCATAGGGACAGGCTGGGGGGCCTTGGGGAGGTGGGTTCAGGAGGGCGGCTCATCCCCACCAGCCTCATCTCACTTGGAAGTCCTGCGGCTTGTTGGATAGAGGCTTTTTGGGCGAGCTCCTCCTCCGCTTGACCCCCTGGACGTGGTGCACGGGGGGCTTGCGGGGCAGCGAGGGGGGCTCGGACCCCGGCGGCCCCGAGGAGGAGGAGGAGGGCTCCGTCTCGTCCCCTGTCGCTGCCTGATCCTCCGTCTCCTCCTCTCCGGCCGTCTCTGCGCGGGGCGAGAAAGGAGATGGAGGACGTGAGCGACATGAGGCCAGGCCTTGTGGGACCGCAGGGTGAGGGGTCTAGCTGCGAACATAACATGATGCTGTGGGGGGACACATCCCCCCGGGGCTACAGGTGAAGGTTTCTGGTTACCAGTGACCGTGTCGGGCTCAGCAGCAGCCGGTGCTGGCTCAGGGGGGGCCGGAGGGGGAAACAGGGGGGCAGCTCCCGGTGGGGGGATGTAGGACACTTGCAGGATGAGGAAAGCCTGGAAAAAAGGAAATAATCGTTATACGGGTGTCCACAAACACTCTCCTGGGGCCTGAGCCTCGGTGCCGATGCCACCCGCGACGCTCTGCCCAGGCGCGGGGGACGCAGCCGCAAAAGCGGCAGCAACTCGGCAAATGCCGGGAAAAAGGGACGGAGCAGGGGGACAGCGGGGAGAGGTGTCGCGGGGCCCACGGGGGCACCAGGGACGTGCGGGGTCCCGGCGGGGTGACCACCCGGTCCCCGTCCCGCTAGATGGCAGCCCCAGGCCAGGCCGAGCCGGGGC